AGTAAGAATAAAAAAAAAACTATCACAGCTGAAGCAGAGATTTTCTAACACCATTAACCTGCAAAAATGAAACAACAACTCTAGCAAGTGCATTTAAAAAAATATTTTTTGCTAAACAATAAAAATGTGCAATTGCATATTTTATAATTTTATTTTCTTAATCTAAAAAAATAGATTCAGGGATATTTTATTTATATTAATGTCTGTTCAAATGTTTCTTTTCACCTCATTTCTTTCCCACCAGGTGTGATTCTCCAGTCCTTCCAGGGCAAACTTCTGAGAGCGCCGCACCACAAAGTAAATGAGGTATCCGCTTCCTGCTAAGCAGCACAACACAAGGAAATTGGCCAGCACTCGGAGGAAACGAGTCAGATGGATGGTGTCATCCTTTCTGCTCTCTTGCTCCTCCAGGATTGCTTCCTGAAGATGTGTCAGAAAGCATATCTAACTCTGCTGTATAGTTTCATTGGTCACACCCTTGGAAATTAGACAAGCTGTGGGTTCGACCTTAAAACTGGTGGTGATGGAGGCAAACTTGTTGTCTGCTGTCTCTGGGTTTCCTATCAGATAATCCCAGCTGGTGAACATCTTCCAGCTGAAGTTGAAGCTATTATCATCTCCGATCCCTGACTCGTTTGCGTTACGCGCCATCCTTTAGTCAGAAAAAAAATTCTTTGCTTAAAATCGTGTAATTGAGAGATACACTCATTCATCATCTGCAAAGAAGACTTACGTCCTTATGACAACCATATAGCTGTAGGCCACTGTACCTACACCAACTAAGAAGTACGACAGCGGCATGCGAAACTTGAACCACCCAATAGCACGCTGGTTGTTATAGTATCCATAGAAAAGGACTGAATACTGAGCGTAACCCTATAGATGACATTTAACAACAATGAGATGAAACACTAAAAAAAACATCTCTTTTTTCAGTGGTATATTTTCTGACTTCACCCCAAAGTCCCAAAGGACAGCAAAGTCCATGGCACTGGCTTCCTCAGCTCTGGGGACAGTCTTTCTCGGGATGCTGCCATAGGGTTTCCCCACCAATGCCTGTTTAAAAAAGCAAAAAAAAAAAAAACACGTTCTGTAAAATGAATACTTT